ATTAACAAGAGCACTCAATAATATGGCTAAATGCAATATGTATGTAATAACCAATATCTTTTTGATAATAGTAATATGCACTTGGAAATACAATAGATAAATAAATATCCTATTATAATGTATCAAAATATAGGAATCAGTTAGAAGTAAAACTATGGTATGGTGCTAGTCCTGTAGCCTGGTGGTTGAGAGCCAGATCCTACATGGCCAACCACAATTGGAATTCCCAGCTCCAGCAGTGTGAAAAACATGCCAGGCATGTATACATTTGTGCCACAACTCCCAAAACAAGAGAGAAATTGAGGATAAGAGATTGTTGCATTACATTGAAGAGTGTTTTCTTCCTTTCTCTCTACCTCTCCGTCTCTCTCTGACAAGCACACATATCTTCTGGCAGTTAAAATAAAATTGGTGTGGAAAATTACATAGCATTAACATAGACTAGAAGAAAATATTCGCAATGCATACACAATCTTGTCCTCTGTCCTGCAGCAATCCAGGATCAGGGTACACCTACGGGGATACCAGACATGTTCAGGTAAACCCGAGATGCAGAACCTTTCCTGTGGCTCAAGCATTGTGCAGCAGTGTCTCTATTACTCTCACCACAATAGCTATGCCAGCAATTTAGACAAAATACATCAAATTGGCAGTGATCTAAAATACTGGTAGCATTCTGTGTTAGGTGGTAGGAAAAGGTCCCAATTTTGCATTTGTGGGGAGATTAAAAATAGAAAATTTAGAAAAGGATTTTTTCAGAACACTTGACTTATTTAAATGTCTATATTATTTCCCAAATCTGCTTATTCATTTAAAAATATTGTAAGGAAATTTTTATAAAAATATTTTCCTTAAGGGATCAGCAGTTAGCATAATGGCTATGTCACTGGACTCTCACGTAGTCGACCACGGTTCGAGTCCTGGACCTCGTGGCTTAAACTCACGCCAGGCGCGTGTGCGTGCGTGCCCAAGATCCCGAGAGGAGAATGGAGGAGAGGGGATTGCGGCGTGGCCATCCCCTCTGGGGGGTGATTTCTCACTTTCTATCTCTCTGTCTCTCTCTGTTTATCTGGCAAGCACACATGCCCTATAGCAAAAACCTCTCCAAAAAAAAAAATATTTACCTTAATACTGCAATATCATAATAAAGGCAATGACCTAAATGACTATTGATTCATGTGAAATTATGGTGTGTCCATTTGGTGGTATATTAATTATATAGTCATATATAAGAATTTCACCTATTCATATATATTGACTGGAAAGACAGTCAGGATACATTGATAAAAAGACAGTTGTAGAGTAATATGTTGACTACTATGTCATATAAATTGAAAGAAATAAAAAGAATAAAAGAAAGGACAGAGAAAAGGGAGAAAGAGAGGGAAAAAGTGAGAAAAAGGAAAGGATGAAAGAAATATATATGCTTCATCTAAAAATGTGACATCTCCATCCCTGATTTTGTCTATGTTAAGATTTTTATGTACAAATTATCACTTAAAATATCATCAGAATTCATCTATGTGTCTCAATCAAACTCCAAAACATTACTTGATGGGACAAAAACCAAAAAAAACTAACTTCATTAAATAGGCACTTTAAAGAAAGCTAAGGTTTTCCATTATATTTAAACTGAACATTGGGTGAACAACTTGTGAATAATTGTTTAATTTTCAACTTTTGGTATCAATTCATCTTATCTCTTATATATGTCCTAATTACTAAATTAAAGACTTGAGTTTGAACGACAATGGAATCTCAATTCCTCAGCTCTACAATGGAGAAAAGGGACTCTGAGTTAACTTCAAGCCATTAAAATTAATGATTCTAAATATTTAAGAAAAATGATCCTCTTTTGTGAAAATGTTTCATTTCAAAATTATAGGTCACCCCCTGAAACCAGATGGCTTCATCAAAATTTTAAACTCTGGACATGTACTTTCATTGAGAGCTATTTCAAAATTTAAATGTCTAAATAAGTTTAAATTTCAGCTAATATTTATAAAATTTATAAAAGTTTCTTAAATACAACAGTCTAAAAATGAAGAATTTAGAGCCATAGAATGCTATGTGATCTAAACAAATGACCTTAACCCAATGTGCCTCAATTTTGTTGTGTGTACCTCACAGAGTTGTTGAAGTAATTAAATGAGATTGTATATGTGCTTACAAAAGTATATGGCACTAGTACCCACCGAATAAGTGTTAGTCATTAATACTATACTGTTGAGGATGCACACTCATGTAACTGAAAGTTAACCAAAGGATTATCTAACAATAATGTCCAATTTCTTACAAAAGAAGAGAAGATAATATCATGTTTATAACTCCATAAAAGTTGAGGAGTTTTCTTTGTATGCCTCTGCCATAAATTATTAAAGTTTCTTAATTAATATATTTAAAGAGTACCACTCTATTTTACATATAGGAAATTAAAACAAAACAAACATACAGACACCTTCTATTTAAAATCATTTTCTATTTCAAGTGAATGTACACACATATTTTCCTATTTTGTTTCCAGTTTTGCCAGAGAGCACAGGCACTTTTCAGAAAGAAACAGAGAGAGGGAGGGAAAAAGAGAAAGCATTCCCATGGGGCATTGTCACGCTGCAATACCTTCTCTATTTTCCCTGCCTTTCAGGACTTTGAGCACACACACACTCCTGCCTGATGTGTGTCACAAACCATCAGATGCAGGACTTGGACTTCAGAGTCTGCCAAGTGGTATTTAGCTGCTTTAACCACCACGCCATGGGCTGCTTCACATTTTCTTTGTGTGTATATGATGAAATAATGGGAGCTCCATATTTTTTAAGAGAGATTTTTTTCCCCATAAGGCATGTTGCTTGCCAAAGAGACAGAGAGACAGAGACACAAAAAATAATGGCCACAACCGCAATTCCTTCTCCTCCATTCTCCTCTTGAGATTTTGGGCACACACATACCTGGTGTGAGTTTTAATGGGCACACACATGCCTGGTGTGAGTTTTAATGGGCATACACACGCCTGGTGTGAGTTTTAAGCCACTGGGTCTGGGACTCAAACAGTGGTCAACTATGTGGGAGTCCAGCGACATAACCATTACACCATCTACTAGTCCTGGAAGCTCCATAATTTAACTTAATCCTTTGGTGTCTTCATGGTCTTCTCACTGATTAGGGTCTCTAATTTTCTGTTTCACGAAATCTCTCACAACCACACAGTACATAAAATGCCTAATGGAAAAATGAATGGTATCAGCAAACCTAGAGCTGCCTCTGTGATCTGAGTAAATGAATGACATAACTCATGTTCATTCATACACTCGGGCATTCCTTAAATATGTATTGAGTGCTGATTTATTATACATTAGGCACTATGTTAGGTACTGACCGTGAACAAAACTGATCAAACTTTGGGACCAGCAGTTAGCATAATAGCTGTGTCGCTGGACTCCCATGTAGTCGACTGTGGTTCACGTCCCGGACCCGGTGGCTTAAAACTCACGCCGGGCGTGTGTGCGTGCGTGCCGAAGATCCCAAGAGGAGAATGGAGGAGAAGGAATTGTGGTTGTGGCCATTATTTTTTGTGTCTCTGTCTCTCTGTCTCTTTGGCAAGCAACATGCCTTATGGGGAAAAAAATCTCTCTTAAAAAATATGGAGCTCCCATTATTTCATCATATACACACAAAAGAAATCAACCCTGGGGGGTGATTTCTCGTTTTATGTCTCTCTGTCTCTCTTTGTCTGGTGAGCGCACATGCCCTATAGCAAAAAAAAAAAAAAAAACTCTCAAAACAAACAAACAAACAAACAAAAACAAAACTGATCAAACTTCATATTATTCTGTTGCTTATATATTAGTCAGTTTTCTCATTTAAAAAATAAATAATTCTTACTTCTTGCAGTTCTAATGAGATTTAATGAGTTAATGTGGGCAAAATGATAGGAATATAGAAGGCTCTTAGTAATTGTTAATTATCCCTTTAATGTTCCTTAGGCTTGCTAAGCTAAAGATAAAAATATATCCCAAAAGTAGTACAGTGTTAATGGATGCTAATGTGTCCATTGGAAAGAGCTATCTTTGTTTTTTTTTTTTTGCTTTCTGATGAATATGCATTTGAAATAATGACAATATAAAAGCAAACAAAACTAATGTCTCTAGGAAAATGGGGCAGGTAGACAACTACATTATTTTTCCTTTTTAACATGAACATCAGTATCAGATGTTGAATCATAGTTCTGGTAAGCAGTTTTTGGTAAGAAAAAAATGTCCAGTGATTTGAGATGGCCATGACTTGTTATACCCAAAATGGATGTGATCAATTGTTTTGTTTTGTTTTTTTTTTTGAGAGGTTTTTCGCTACAGGGAGCATGTGCTCACCAGAGATACAGAGACAGACAGACAGACAGAAAGCGAGAAATCACCCCCCAGGGGGAATGGCCACGCAGCAATCCCTTCTCTTCCATTCTCCCTCAGGATCTTGGGCACCCATGTACACGCACCCAGCATGAGTTTAAGCCACCGGGTCCAAGACTCGAACCATGGTCAACTACATGGGAGTTCAGCTACATAGCCATTACACTATCTGCTGGTCCCAGGATGTGATTGATTTTTAACAAGTTAGGAAATCATTAATTTCTCAGGCGACTAGTGGTGCTTTATTCAGTTATGCCATTGTATATAGTGATGACTACACTACTAGGAGCATAATATACATTAATAAATTCTAATTGAATAAAAATCAGTTTCATTTCAAATATAAAGCTATTTTCTTGTTTTGCAACATTTACTGATTTTTAAAAATATTTTAAGATAGGTATTATCTAAATGAGATTGAAAAAATGCATTGATAGTTTCCACAGATTAAAACTAAAGATGTAAAGTTAATAACAACCTATTCAGGGAATTATGTATTATTTTATACTAATAGATACATTTTTGTCTTTCAGTCAATAGTATACATATAGAATGGTAATTTTCTTTTTCTTTTCTTTTCTTTTTTTTTTTTTTTTACCTCAGTTGAGTACTGTACCAATGTCTTAACAAAGTTTGAAGGAGGCACATCTCACACAACAGTATGAAAACCAAATCATCATACTTATAAATCATAAAACATCTAAAATAGTATTTTCTCATTACGTTTTTTTGAAGCACTACAGTTCTTTCTACATTTGGGAGGGATGAGAGGCAGTCTGACCAATTAAAGATACCAAGCCTTCTACCATCCTTGTCCCACCAGAGCAACCAAGCTTTTAGTCTTCTTTCTAGTTGGTGTTTCTAACAGATTTCATTTAGATTTTTTTTTTATCAAGTTTCAAAACCACTCTCAGGTAATGAATAAAACAATTTACAAAACAAAGTGCATTGCAAAAGTAAGGTCTGAATTAAATATTTTAACCACTGTCTAAAATTTTTAATGTAAAAAGACAAACCATACAATAATATATGCTTTGAGTAATTCTACATTAAATATTATTTTATTCAAAAATCTATATATAACAAAAAACCCTGATATCTTTAGAGCATATCTGGAAAGGTTTTTAGCAGGTGCTACTGAACCAACACATTACTCAACAGAGAGCATAATAATTATGAAAATTATTTTTAGCATGCAATTGTTGCTGAAGCTATCTACACATCAAAATCTGAAACTTCTCAAAATGAATTCTGCATCAACTTTAAACTTAGATTTTTTTAATTATAGGGAATACGAAACATGATATTCGCAGTCGAAAAATAATCATGGTAAACTAAACTTTTGAGGACACATTTTTAACTTACATGACGTCATTTGTATAAGCCAAATTATTTGTTCAATAAACTGACTATTAATTAAACTATTAATTATCAACATAGCAAGGGAGTTGCTAGTAGAAATATAAAAAAGCAACTAATACATTTTCTGTTTGTTTATGTAGTATATATATAAAATATATATATATATATATATAGTACAGAGTTACTTAAACCAAGAATGTTATCTTCTGTGATGAATATATTAAGAAAGGCTTCATAGAAAAAAAATCATTTGACCTTTGTTTGAAAAATGAGGGAGGTGGTACTGAGTTAAAATTAAAATAGGTTTCCAGGCAGAATTTACTGAATGTCGAAAGAGGCAGAGGTGTGAAGCAACTCTTCGGCTTCCAAGAATAGTAGAAAATATGATGAGATTTAAGTTTAGGGGAAAAGAAAAAAAAACGAATGGAGGAGCTAGAAATTAAGGTCTATGGAGGTTTTAAACTTTATCTCTAGGCAATGAAAAATTAGAGCAACATTTTGAGTTGGGTGTAGTGTAATACTAAAACTTCTCTGATGTTACAAGATTACAATGTCTAGAAAGATTGGAAGAAGTGAGATGGAGATGAAAAGGAAGAGAAAAATCAAGAACAGTATTCATTTAAAATCTCCTTAATTGGCTTCAAATATCTCTGTGACAATTCGTGTGTGGATAGTTGTGTATATTTTATTTGATGTCACTATATTGTGATCATCCTGAGAAAGATATCTCCCTATATTAACAATTTATTCAATATTTGCTCCATAAGTAGATCTTTAGGAAGATTTATTTATTTATTTATTTATTACCATTGTTGAAAAACTGAGAATACAATAATGCTTAGTTGTGCTACTTTTTTTTTTTTGTCTTTAAGAGATTATTTTTGCTATAAGGTGTTTGCACTCTCTGTGGAGAGAGAGAGACAGAAAGTGAGAAATCACTCCCCACTGGGGATGGGCATTCCGCAAACCCTTCTCCTCCCTTTTCCTCTCAGGATTTTGGGCACATATGCACAGGCACCCAGCATGAGTTTAAGCCGCCAGGTCTGAGACTGGAATAGACTAGATTATGTGGGAATCTAGCAACATAACCATTATGCCACATGCTGGTTACAAAAGAAAGTCATTTAAAATACAAGGTGTAGATACTTCCCATATAAGCAGACCACTCTTTAAATTTCATAACCTTATTTTATTTACTGTAGATAATTATGGCTTTTAATTAGAAGAGATATATTCTATATAACCTATATATCCTATATATTCTATATAAATTATAATCAGCTAACTTTCAAAAAAGTGACACTTATACAGATGTTCTGAACTATTCAAATTGATATAGTATCATATTTAGAAAGTAACAAAGAAAGTAAGATGTAAGAAATGAAAGTAAGAAATGCAAGTGAGAAAACAAAATACAATAAATATGTCCTGTCTCCCTGACAACATTGCAAGTTCATTTCCATGTATCCAAACACAAAGACATGGCAATGTTTGAAAGAGGAAACTCTGATTAAAAATTATTATTATTCAAGTAAGAGAAGTTTTCAAAGCCATTGTTTTAATGATAAGATAGAAAATGATGATTTTTTTACCAGAATAGTAATGACAATTTCAAGCATTATAGCATTTTACACTTGTATTTTTAAACCATAGATTTTAGTTGAAATTATTAACATTTACATATTCTTCTAGAGAATTAGAAATGTGCATTTATAATATATACACTATGTGTATATATTCACTTCAGTAAAGGTTCAACATGTATCAAAGATATTAGGAATTCCATAACGTTTGCAGTGAATAAAAATAGAACAAAAAGGTTTCATAATACATATATAATTAGTCATTAATCTGGCTCTCTATCAAAACTAGGGAACGAGCAGTAGTGACTTAACATGCTTGACTTATATACAAGTTAATACTCTGAACACTAAGATGATATACATGATCTGACAGAATCACTGATGGATTAAAAAAATCAGTCTCTCAAAATATTTGGTGAATTTATGTCCTTTACACATATATTTCAGTATTTAGTAATCAGTAATGGTTTTTTGTTTGGTTGGTTATTGTCAGACAAATCATTTAAAGGGTATAAAATTGTATGGTCTATTCTGGGAAAATATAAAAATCTATAGTAACTGAAGAACATGGGTAGTATAATGACTGGGAGAGAGCTGAGGGATATGCAAAAGAGACATATTTTTAAATAAAACTAATTTTGTTTAAAGATAAGTGGAATCAGCATTTATAGTTAAAAAGGAAATTCTTTTGTTTGAATGTACTTTTCCTTGTGTTTTGGAAAACTTTTATTTTGTAGATGCAATTAAACCTGAATTTAAAAGGATTTTCTGGTGGTATTAAGATAATACCACACTCTGTGTGTCTCTGGTGAGAGTATGTGCCCTATAGCATATAACATAACATATTTTCCATGGTAGCAATTCATCATTACCTTTGTAGTTAACCTTGAAGCCAACTGATCCAACACTTTCGTCTGTTTGAAGGTGCAGCCACATTTGGCTACTCATGCTCACTATTAAGTCTGGTACAAAGCTCCCAGTAAGCCTAAAAAGAAATGGACAAAGAAAGATGGGTTATTAAAACAAGCTTTGCATGCAAATTATGACAGATGTGCTTCTCAGTACTTTCTTTGTTAGAAAAATTGACTATCAGATAAACTTACAGGACTATGTGTTGATAAAACAGATGAGACAAACTATACGATTTGGTGATCAAGGTTTAATATTAAAATACCACTTTATGTGTTTTACTAGATCTTTTATATCCCTGAGGCAAGATTACTAAGTTTTACACAATCAGACACTTTTATACTTTCTTTTGAACTGAAAAGAAAAAAAAAACTATAAAAATCTTCAAACATTTTTTAACACCAAAAATACATCTCTCTCTCTTTTTTTTTTTTTTCTTTAAGATTTTGTCATGGAGCCTGTGCATTTGCTAGAAAGAGACAGAGAAGTGAGGAGGAAAGTGAGAAATGACGCCTTAGGTTGGATGACCATGTTGCAATCCCTTTTCTTTTCTCCTGGGATTTTGGATATGTACACATCCACATCCAGATTGAGTTTCAAGTCGCTGATTCTGGGACTTGAACCATAGTCAGCCCAGGGCAGTCCAGTGTCTTAACTACCATGCCATCTGCTGGCCCCCTAGAACACATCTCATTTTAATCTTTTAAGTTTCATAAGTCTTTGTTCTAAAAAATCTAATGTGAAAAATGTTCAAATACTAGGCAAAACAATAAAATGGAAAGAAATATAATCAAACCCTTTGCAATACTGGTATCAAGTACATGAGCTTTAAAATACAGCACCTACATTACAGGCTGCCCAAGTCGTATACGTTTTGTTGTAAATAACTTTATTTAATGGAACATGCTGCTAATTTTATGTGGCATAACTGAATCTAGACATTAATAATATTTTATTCAGTAATGCACAATTTTATTATAATAATAAGGGGAAATGATTTCATGTTTCCTTTGTCATTAATACTGTTGTAGTCACATGTTTGAATTAAAGTACAGATTTATACAAAAGGTAAAATCAAATAAATAGACAGGATCTTGGAGTGAAAACGTGTCAAATATAAAGAAGGGCAAGCAGATGGCCTAATGATTGCATGGTTGGACTCCCATGTAGTCGACCACAGCTGGAGTCCTGAACCCAGCAGCTTAAAACTCACACTGTGTGCATGCCCATGTATGTCCAAGATCCTGAGAGGAGAGTGGAGGAGAAAGGATTGCAATATGATCATCTCCTGTAGGGAGTGATTTCTCACTTTCTGTCTCTCTCTGTGTGTCTCTGGTGAGAGTATGTGCCCTATAGCAAAAATCTTTCTTAAAAAAAGATAGAAGTAAAAGATAAACTCATTTCAGTTAATGTCCATGTTGATAGGGGGTTTAAAATTACATACTAAAAAGACAAGAAATGTTAGAATTTCTTCTAAAAGAAGGAATTACTGAATGATTGCCCATTTTAATGCTAAAACTAGAAGGACATCTGGAAAATTACATCAAGAGAGAAAGTATAAAACTTCTTTTGATAATAAAAGGGCATCTGAAAGAGAAATTTTAAAGTCTCTTGGATAATGACAACATTAAAATTAGACCAGCAGAGGGCAGTATGTATGGCTATATACTTGAAATGATGATGGCAGTAAAATGCCCTGCTTACTTAGTAAAAATGACATCAGAAAACTGTTAGCTGTATGGTTATGTCACCGATGTCCAGTGCTAAAGAATTTTCTGGAATCTACTATAAAAAATTTTCAAAAGTAAAATAATTATGATTCAATTGTGGGATAATATATGATATT